TCGACCGAAGCACATCCCGCGAAAACGTCAGACGAGAACCAAGCGACCGGCAGGAAGGGGGTCCAAGCAATGTCAGGAGGAAAGGTGCAGAAGCATCTCAGGTCCGTTATCCGGGATCTGGATTTTTTTCCCCGAACAGGCAGGTTGATACGGAATGTCGATCCTCGATCCTCTTTTAGCCACCGCGCCCAGCTTTAACTACTGCTCGAACTTCATCTAAAGAGGCCGTACCGACTTTGAAAAAGCCCACGGCCGCTGGTCGTCACGTCGCAATTGTGTCGCCAGCTGTTACCGCAACAAAGGACGACGAGGACGATTCCGATGCCTGGGTATCAAGTGAAAGTGGTGCTGCTACGCCAAGTCATGAACCAGCATCTCCGAGAAGGGGGATTGTAGTTCAAGCGGGGGAGACACTTTCGCCAACCGAATCAAGAACACCACCTGCGACCAGGCAGCCGCTCCCCCCAGCGGAACCGTTTATTCGGACACCTTCACCGACAGATACCGCTCGACTACATGCACCTCAAACTATGGATCGCGTCTCAGCCCGAAGCTCGCCGGGTCCGGACAGGGCAGCCGAAAGTGCCGTACCACGCGCTAGTTCTCAACATGGGCACCATCATCATGGGCACCACCACCACCCAGCCCTTCATCTACAGCGCCCTCATCCCCTCATCCGAGCCACGAGCCACAGCTCGGCACTAGCATCTCCTTCCTATCTGACTGCCACTCCGTCCGTCTCCACGCCTATCTCAGAGTCGCCTCCACAGGGCTCTCCACCCGGAAGTACCATCATGGGAAATGCTTTAAATGAACGACGCTCATCGATATCTTCTTCACGTTCCGTGTCTACACTCCCGCTCCCAAATACCGCGACCGTCAGCACGTTTGCCGCTGCTGGGAAAGGAGGGATGAGTCCCGTGGAGTACGGCCGTCCTCGGGAGCGAACAATGTCCGCCATGTCGCACTCATCCGCAGCGTTGTCGTCTCTAGCTGCCATTCCGCGAATTTACAATGCCCGCCAGTCTACGGGTCCGGCCAATCCGCCAATTGTGTCACGCTTTGCTCCTTCTGAAGCAGAAGAGGACCGGCATCCTTTGTTGCGGCAACCTTATCTCATGGACCACATAAGCATATTGCAGTACTATGACCCATTGCATGCTTCTGCAAAACGGGTGGCAAAAGCGAAAGGGCGAGTAGAACGGACTTGATGCAGCTCGCGATTTCTTCTGCTGTGTTGTACTTCTGTCTTTCGTAGTTGTATTATATCCTTCAGAAATAGTAATGGTGGTTACGATTAGGTTCTTGAGCTTGATAGAGGTAGAGGGCTGCTGAAATGCGGGCTCTTTTTTCTCACAAAGGAAATGACTTCGGGCGCCGTGATATGGTAAGATCGATTTGAGGCCCTTAATTTGTCCCCTGTGATCTATCACAGAAGGGAGAGATGAGATGGAATTTTTTTTTAGTTCTCAGCAAGGTAGAACTGGGGCCTGGTGTACCGAGAAATATTCTTTAAGAAGTTTCGGTCCGCCCCGGCCTCGAGGTCATTAATTGATCGAGAGAACCACGCCTCGCCCCGCGCCCTTTTTGGCAGCATTGCCATCCACCAAACCACATTCACAGTGCTTTCCCTCCACGACTACCAACACCCTCTTCGACCACATTCACCATGAGCAGCCCCAGCACGATAATACCCGTGACGGATAGCAACGTCGTATTTATTTGCCCACCAAATTCTCTTCTAGGAGGTCAGTGCGGAGACATTGTTTCCCCCGGAACTCAGACTAAACAATGCTTCCCCGTTGTTCTATCTCTAGTGTGGACGTTAGGCAACGATGGAGCGTACAGGATGGACACGAAGGGGAACGGTTGTTATATGGAGTATTCGTTTACGGGTGAGGATTAGTTCACCACCGCTAAACACACGTTTGTGTGCCGAACCGCTGATCGCTTCCGGTATTCAAGCAACTGGGGTTTCGGTGAACATTCTCGGAAACTGGGACCATGGAGTGTATAGCTGTCAGTTAGACAACGGGTCGCCCCAATGGTTCAGTGCCAATTCGGCCACTCTCGGGTATGCTGTGGGATGCGCCGTGTCTGGTCTCTCAAACGATAAGCATACGCTCAAAGTAACCAACGCTCCAATGAGCGGGTGGTGGTTAACCCTGGAGAATATAACTCTCACAACGGGGGATGCGTACACTGGTGCCAAGACCTTTACGTTAGTTTCTCCCACCCCTCTCTACCGTCCACAATAGAACAAACTGCCGTGATACTAACATCGACACTATTCTCTCTAATTTACAGGTCGGGGTGGACAGCGTATCAGCTCCCGCCAACTCTAGCATCGCAGCAGTCTGCAAGCACGGTTACGGCTGTGACGACGGTAACTGCCAGTAGTTCGGACGGGAGTCAAGTTCCTGTGGCTGCGTTGGCGTCCGTAGCTGCGGTATTAGGAACTCTCTTTGTAGGAGCGGCGATTGCGGCAGTGTATTTCTGGGTTCGGGACTCTCGGTTCCGGCGAGACCACCAGTGGTCTCAAGCGATTTCGGCGGCGCCCGTAGCATATAGCACGGAACTCTCACCTCCCATTCACAACGTTGAATTCAATCATGAAGGTATGTTTAGGCCAGGTTGTTTTTGCTTTCAAATACTCAAATGACCTGACCCTCCCGAAAGCAACGCCTCTTCAAAGTCCATGTAAGATACACGAAGAGGCGGTTCTGTCGCATATTAATAATCTTACCGTACACTTCTTTGGCTCTAGATCCACTGACATACTCAAACAAAGGCTTGGTATGAAGTCCAAATGGGGATTTGTCGAACGTCTAACGTCATGCAGTGCCGCGGTCGAACCGAGGTGTTGCCCCTCTCACCCCTTCTCATTTCCTGCCCATGTTATCTCTGATTTTATTTTTGGGCTTGCTACCAACGTATTGCAGGTTGAGGTCGAGTCTACATCAATCTTCTGATCCTGTCGCGCTGTGCCCCAGTAGAAACGCAAGAGGAATGACATCCTTATTGTGCCAATCATATGATATGAATCATATTGATACATTCTGAAACCATGACGCGTTGTATGCCCAGCCAGGCGGGTGGCAGAGGTTCAGGCTTGATCGAGCGCAGCGGCTCCATGATGCGGATTGCTGTGCAGCAAATGTATTGCTTTTCTTCAGTCTTTCACAGCCGCCACAATTATAGCTTTCAAAAGTGGCAGCAATAATAGCTGTACAAATCTATATGAGGCGAGGGAGAGTGGCTGCACGTCAACGTGTTGGTGTAGAACGGCTGAGAGGGGGGTCCGTCGCGACTTTGGAAGTTCGAAATGACAGCTCGTGGAATGTGTTCCGGCGTGCCTTTTGCCAAGTATTAGAGAAGAGAACGGCAAGGATAAATTCATTCTCCGCTGAGGGTTCGGCTGCGCGTCGCGCTCGAAGCAGCTCGGCCTAACGACCGGATCGCCACGGCCCAGCGCTGGCAGGTCGATCGAGGCTCCCCACGCGTCTTACCAACCTTTCTTTCTCTTGGTGTTGGAGATTGCATTTCTTCAACCACCTCTTCAACCCCCACTGTATTTTCTACACTTGGTTGCGCATCGTTCGGCATGGCCAGCACCAGCACCAGCACCAGCACCAGCACCATAGTACCGGTAACGGATAGCAGCGTCAAGTTTATTTGTCCACAAGATGCCCTTTTAGGAGGTCAGTGCAACGGGGTTCGCATCCCGAAGCCGAACTTGATGAACTGAACGGGTTTTTCGCCTGCTTCCTGTCGTAGTCTGGACGTTAGGTAACGATGCATACGTTGGTGGATATAGGATGGATACGAAGGGGAATGACTGTTACATGGAGTATGAGTTTACGGGTGGGTACTCTAGAGGGTCACGTTGGGCTGCGACACCTACTAACGACGTTTCTCGACTTTTGTGAAACTAGCGACTGGAATCTCCGTTAACGTTCTCGGGAACTACGACCACGGGGTGTACAGCTGCCAACTGGACGATGGGGCGCCTCAATGGTTCAACGCTAATAACCCCACTCCAACTTTGGGCGTAGGCTGTGGAATTTCCGGGTTGTCAACCGACAAGCACACTCTGAAGGTGACCAACGCACCCATGAGCGGGTGGTGGTTGACTTTGTCGAACATAACTCTGACGACGGGAGATGCCTTCACTGGGACCAAGACTTTTACGTGAGCCCATCTTCTTCAAGGGACGCATGCCGTAGCTGTACAGAGGTTGTTTCCAGGTCAAATTGGGCCGCATACCAACTCCCGTCAAGCTTGGCAGCGCAGGCATCTGCCAGCACGGTGACTGCTGTGACGACTGTAACGGCAACCAGTGATAGCGCCAGCAGTGGGAGCCACGTCTCTACGGGCGCCTTCGCAGCTACTGCTGCCGTGTTGGCTACTCTCTTCATTGGTGCAACCATCGCGGCCGTGTACTTCTGGGTTCGAGACATGCGATTCCGACGGGACCACCAGTGGTCACAGGCCATTTCGGCAGCGCCCATAGCGTACACAACGGAGCCCTCAACGTCTACTCAACACACAGAGTACAACCCTCTCAGTAGGTCTAAAAACCGAATATCTCTTGCGTGATCCTTCAAGTGACCTGGTGACTTGGAAAGCATCGCCTATGCGACCCACCACAGCCAGTCAATGTGCGAGGATAAAGCGGTGATTCCTTATGCATGAATAGTTTGACTGACAAACTGCACACTTCAGATCCGACTTATCCGGTCGAGAAAGCGGGTTTCGCGGGAAGCTCCACTGGGTATAGCGGCACGTCGTATACTGGGCAATAGCGTCGCTGAGCGGGATGTTGCATTATGTGTTCTCCATGATATCACGTTCTTCCTTATTCGCTGTTTATACTACTTTTGTTTTTCATACATGGGCTTGTCACCGCTGGTCGGTAGCGCATCGAGTGTTGGTGGGAGCTAGGTCGGTGCTCAATAGAAGGCTTATAGATATTTTGGACGGGCTTGAAAGCAACAACCGTCGCTTTGCCGGAGTGGTTAACGGGTTCGCCTGCTATTTCCGATAGCTAGACCAGCGGATGCACTATGTGCGCGAGTGTTCGAATCGCTCAGGCGACGCTCTTTTTGCACACCGACGTACCTCCACCTTAAATTCCCCTTTTCGCCGGGCTATTTTCAGACTCCCTTCCCAGCTTGGCGGAGGGAGACAAGTGCCGGTATCCATCGTTCCGCGAAGGACACGCTACTATCAAGGGAAATGCTCACCACCCTACAGTTCTTTAGCAACTGTTCGTTCGAAACGTGTCTTCATTTCTTTTCTCAAGGCTTCGGGTGCGTGTCTCAGCCTTTGTGTGAGCCACCTTTTCAGGCCGTCGGCATTCCAAATCAAGACACGGTCGCTGGCTTGACGAGAGGGCTTCGCCTGACACTGGCTACCATAATCTCATCACCGCGGTCAACAACGGCTACCATTGAGTCCGCAGCTAGCAACGGCATCTACTCTTTTCGAATTGCTACAAATGGAAGAGGAGGAATTGAAAGTCCGCGGGATTGGGCTCTCGGCGGCCCGGCATGTGTGGCACACAGTCCAGGTCCAAATAGTTTGCCCCGTCTTGGGTCAATGTCCTGACATTTGCTTATTACACGCATACCCCTCGAAAGGTGCTCTTGCTACCTCCACCGTTTGCCTCCATCCTTTCCTCTCGATCCCTCCCCCTACCTCCACCTAGACGGTGCCCGCTACTCCACCTATGAATCTCAATATTTCATCCCCGATCGACCCATCCATGTACTCGACTCCTCCATCCACCCCATCCGTCTTCAAACAACAGCAGCAGCAAGTTTCATCCCAACAACCTGCCCAGGCTGCCTTGGCTCGGAGAACAAGCAGACCTCATATGATCCACATTTCAAAGTCTCAGGGGCCCCCAGTCCAACTTGCCGTAGACTCCCCAGCAGCCACCTCCCTCTCCGCACCCGCAGGTCAGACTCACCTGCACTCATCAACGAAGCCATTAGGTCCATCATCAGCTGCAATGTCGAGCGAGGACACAGGAGCTGCAACAGTCGTTCCAGACCACCATGAACCATCTCCGGGAGCTCTCCCCAAGTCACCGTGCTTTGTCCATTCGTTGCTGGACAAAGGTGCCTCCCTCACTGACTGGCTCAAGTCTAGTAACCACGGTGCCAGTCTGCACGATGAGAAAACCAAGAACCGAGACGATGCGCAACGCTCGGTGTCTCGTCACGGATCCACTACATCATACACTGGATCGCCATCACCTTCAGAGAGTTCCAACTCCCTCGGTTTCCAGACTTCATCTCCGACAGAGTACGATGAAGAGGAGGACGGTGCAGCAAGCCTTACTCGGCAGCTCGCAGCCACCGCAGTCGGCGTCCGGGAGATGAGCAAGCAGCTCGGTGAGTGCACCTAGACCGAACAGGCCTACGCCAAGGCCCCCCTCGTGTTGCGCCATTTTTACGGCTTTAGTCTGACGAAGCAAATCTCATCCTCCTGCAGGCCGAGCACGAGTTCGATCGAACATCCAAAACGTCATGATCATAACCAAGGCTCGCGATAATCGACTTATCAAGCTCACACGAGACCTCGCGCTCTACCTAATGGGGAAGCGTTGCCAAAGCGGCCGTGGAATGATCGTTTACGTGGATCATCAGTTACGGACCTCGAAGCGATTCGACGCTGCTGGCATCGAGCGCGACTTTCCGGATTATTTCCGTCCTCAGCCAAGGCGGTTCAGTTCCACGAGCGGTTATTCTGACTCTGAATCCGTTAATGGCAGCGCACCGAAGGATGAGGGTCAGCTGAGATATTGGACAACCGACATGTGCAGCAAAAGTCCGCATCTGTTCGATTTCGTCGTTACGTTGGGAGGGGATGGGACGGTTCTCTTCACGTCGTGGCTGTTCCAAACAATTGTCCCGCCAGTCTTGCCTTTCGCTCTCGGTTCACTCGGCTTCTTGACCAACTTTGATTTCGCGGATCATCAGAAAGTGGTTGACAACGTCATCGAGAAAGGTATCCGCGTTAACCTGCGCATGCGGTTTACCTGCACAGTCTATCGCGCGGTGAAGCCGGAAGACGAGAGGGGCGGAAAGCGACGGAAGTGCATCAAAAAAGGAGATACCGGACAGATCTTCATGAAGAATCTCGAAGAAGGTGGATGGGAGCGGCTCGAAGGCAACCCAAACGCGGCTGTTCAGCCGACCACGGGGCACAAGTCCAAGGACAAGGATATCATGTGTTTCACGACCCGGCCAGTCGAGAGTTTTGAGGTTATCAACGACCTCGTGGTAGACCGCGGACCAAGTCCCTATGTCAGCTTGCTCGAATTGTTTGGTAAGTCGGACCCAGCGGCGAATGTAGGGAATATGCTGATCTTGCTATTGCTCCAGGTGACGAACATCATCTAACAACCGTGCAAGCTGACGGCCTTTGCGTCGCAACGCCAACCGGATCTACTGCGTATTCCGTGAGTGCAGGAACACCAACATACCGAATATAGACCAAATGTTCTGACGCCTCTTCTGATTCTCATAGCTGTCCGCGGGAGGATCCCTCGTCCACCCCGAGATTCCTGCAATCCTCATCTCTCCAATCTGCCCACATACCCTCTCCTTCCGACCTATGCTTCTTCCTGATAGCATGGAACTCCGAATTTGCGTACCTTACAACTCGAGGAGCACTGCATGGGCAAGTTTCGACGGCAGAGGCCGAGTTGAACTGAAGCGTATGTCTCCTCGTGCACAGCTATTCTGGCAGTTACACTGACAACTGACATATGCAGAGGGAGATCACATCAAAGTTACGGCGTCTAAGTTCCCCTTCCCGACCGTGTGCGCCGAGGACCAGTCTGTAGATTGGTTCAAGTCCATCTCTCGCACCCTCAAGTGGAACGAACGCGAACGTCAAAAGAGCTTCGTTGTCGTGGAAGAAGATCCTGATGCACCGAAGAAGAAGAGAAAGAGCCGTCGCATGCTGGACGCGACCCCGAGTGCGAGCGATCGTCTCAAGGTCACACAGGCTGCTCAGGAGGGTCCAAATGTCGACGGAGACATCGGCCAAGAGGATGAAGAAGACGAGGACGATGATGACGAGGAAGAGGAAGAGGAGGAAGAGAAGTACGACATTGATGATTCGTCTCCCGAAGCTCTTGCGGCTGCTGCCGCCGCCCAAGCCAGCGCCGAGCCAGCGAGCGCCAAGTCGATGAAGCAGCAACCCCCACCGCTGGTCAACGAACCTCCGTCGTCGAGCTCGGAGGAAATGAGCAAACCAACATCATACGCGGCGCAACAAGCGGCTAGGGCTATAGGAGCAGGCTCGATCTCGAGCGAAGGCCACGGGAGCGGGATTGAGACTCCCGGTCGGTTCGCTGGCAGTATCCCGCACCCTCCAAAAGTGCACTCGAGGCACCCCTTGGCCGAGCAAGGCAGAACGCCAGCGCATCTTCACCACCACCATCATCACCAGCAACCCGCCGACCAATCCCAACAACTGTCGCCTCAGGTTCCTACGACGTCCGCGAGTGACAACATACCGACACCTCGCCTGGGGACTACAGCGCACCCGCCGTTCGACAACTCTGCGGGTTCTACGACCCCTTCTTCGGCGAAACATCGAAATCCGGCAGGTGCAGTTTGGGGACATGCAAAGAGGATCGTCTCTGATACGTTGGGACACCGGCGAGGCAGGAGCACGGGTGATGTAGGGACTGGAAGGCGTACTTTCGCGGTCTATGGGCACGATGAGAGCGATTCAAACGCGAGCGACTGACCTGAAGTAGGAGTTGGGCATGACGTTGCAACCAAAAAAAAATCGGAGCTTGGAGTGTAAAATCTTGTGCATTGGTTTCAGCGAGTTGTGTAGGATAGACAGTATACCTCTTAGACGTTGAAAGGGATAAAAGCTGGATTGGATATGTGGCATATATGCATGCAAATTGTATAATAACGATAATTCTACTCGATTTGTTGACGCTGCAACGGCTCGAGTATCTATGTACAGATGAACGAATGGTGAAGGGAACAACATGACCCAGATAGACTACAAGGTGGTTCAACAAAAAAGGGGGCATTCAAACGAAAGGTAAACGAATGGGGAGTGTTAAACAGAAGATTTAGGCTTCTGTGGAAGGTTGAGGGGAGTAAGGTCGAATGAGCATTGGCATCTGAGTGCCTTTGTCCCATTCTCCAGCGACGAAAGGACGGGTGACCATGCTAAAAATACCAAGAGGTGACGTCAGGAAAATGAAGAGCCTCGTACAAAGGGTCTTAATGAGCTTACACATTGCCCTTTAGGATGCGCTTCTTAGGCACAGGTGCGAATTCGAATGAGGCAATGAGTTCAGTAAGGAATGCTTTCATTCTGAAGGGGAGGAGAGATGACGGTTAGCTGTCAGATACGTGCTTTGGGTGGTAGAAAGAGGACATACTCCATGATAGCAAAGTGGACCCCAGGGCACGAGTGCGGGCCAATCGAGAAGGTCATCAAGTTGGATACAAGGCCAGGAGTGCGTTTGGCAGTCTCTGGGAGGTTGAACCACCTGTCGGGTCTGCAAGAACGGAAGAAAAACTCCAGTTAGCATTCAAAGAATCAACCGCACGACAAAAAAGAAAATCTCACTTGAACTCCCAAGCATCCTGTCCCCAGATCTCCTTGGCGATGTTCATTCCCTCGAAGGGCAAGTGGATCAACTGACCAGCGCGGATCTTGATGCCGTTCCCATCTTCCGTCGGGATGATGTCGTCACGAGCTGCGCTGCGAAGAGTCGACTGGAGCGGCGGGGTGAGGCGGAGGCATTCCCTAACTACGGCGTCGAGTAAGGGGAGAGCAGAGGCGTCGTTCGCGGTTTGACCGGAAGAGGCTTGGCGGGCAGCGAGTATTTCGTCGCGGACGCGGGTTTGCAAGGGGATGTTGTGGGAGAGCTCGTAGAGAGTCCAAAGGATTGACAAGCTGACGCTGTCGGAGCCGACGAAGAGGAAAGAGTGAATTTGAGCGAGGAGTTCAGCGTCGGATAACCGTTGCTTGGGAGAAGTCTCTTCAAGGTTGGATTTGACTAGCCGGATCGAGGTTAGTTATGGTGAGGACAATTTGACTTGCG